GACTGTGGGTGAGCCAGCAATGACATCACGACTCACCCGGCCAACTTGAAGGACGGAAGGCGCCTAGTCCAGCTACGGTCTGCGCACTGTCCAACCCAGCCCCATGCACCAGAGGCCTAGACTGGTAATCCGGCCGCAAGCTGCACTTCAAGTGGCTGAGCCCGTGTTTTCCCTCAGGCGAGATGCCACGACAACTCCTTCCAAGTACTTGCGGAGCTGTGACGGAAATCTGCATTTTAGGGATCTTCCACTATAGCTGTCACCCTAGGGCGACAGTTCCTCCCATGCTGCCCCAGGGTCTATTTCATTTTACTTTGACTGAACTAGACTTTTGAGTGTTAGAGCTTTTTACATATACACTCAGTCACCCAAAACAGGACATGCAATTCTCCTTGAACTTAACAAACAAGTGGTACATATTCACTTGGAAAGGAGCCTTCTCCTTTTATATAAAAAAAGGAAGTCCAATTTCCAAATCGCTGCCATCCCATCATTCGTATTCACATCTGACAAACATTTATTTTATGCCTCCATGTCTAAGACGCTGTGCCAGAGACTATTTAAGTACAAGCAGACCTTGTTTTGTTCATTCTAAGATACAGATTATCTTTACATTTGAACACGAAGTATGTTTTCTTTGTCAATGATACAAAACAAATGAATAGTGCTTCTCACAATTAACGGACATCTTACATTAGGTAAATTACGGTACAAGACACAGCCCCTGCTCTCAAGCAGCTTACAGATGTTGCAATTACTGTGCTGGCAGCCAGTTCTCCTCTTCTGTGGGAGGAAACTCAGAGCTTACTTTGGAAAGGCTGAACCTACTCTTTGCAAGAGATCAAACTGCCCTTTGGAGGAAAACACTGTGCCTCCGAACAGCAGCACAGCCAAGACACCTTGAAAAAAGAATGAGAACAAATTAGCAAACGTGCAAGAACCTCCCAAAGTATTTCTTCTAGGAAATACTCCCAAACACTACTTGTGAGAACTGACTTTTTTTTCTTTCCTATTTCACTCATTTTCGTGTTGCAAAGTATGGTTTTACTCTTTATGAGGAAACATATAAATGGGGGGAAAAAAATCCTTCCAGAAGGCAGGGAAAATTTCTGGGGGCAAAAGAAATCGTTTTCCACAGTGTGAATATACTGGGCTGAGGAAGTTGCCAAGTGAATTCTCAAGCTCAAAAAACTGGAGGAGCCAGTACAAGAGAAAGCTCTAAACTATCTTAGTAAAAATATATCGTCATGCACATAACTGCCAGAAAAGCTTAAGGGTGTTTGCAGATACTGGGGAAGAGAGAGAGAGAGAGAGAGAGAGAGAGAGAGGCCAGAGGCAGGGTCCTAACCTCAGAGCAATTATAAGTTAGAGACAGCTATGGGCACTGAGTTGTTAACAGCAGGATTATTAGTGTGGCAGCTTGCAAATACTATATTGGCCTGTTTAAGAGAGGAGAGCAGCACCCTGTTGTCCTATAGCAGGAAAAGCAGAGAGAGGACAGAAAGCAGATCAGTGCGTCCCCAGTTAAGCACAGCAGGCGGGCTGACCGCCATGTTGAAGTCACAGACTTTGCGCCGTCTAACTTTTGGCTTTCCCACATCTGGTGCTTGATCCAGGCTGATCCAGCTGCATTCCTGAGCATCAGCACACAGGTGTTTCTACTGATGCTTTTCCCTATTGGGGGAAAAATGTGTTCTGAACTGAGGGGTACAGTGCAGGGGTGGAGAGACTAATGGCCAAGCAAACCAGGCAGAGTGAAAAATGCGCTGCCCCAGAAGGAGGAGGAGGTAATAGGCTGGGCACGCAGGAGTCCGAAGATGAGCTGGCAGCAGGGCAAGTGTGTGTGCTGACTTCCAGAAGGAATGCACCGCTCGCTCCCGGGGCCCATAGAGAGCCTTCCAACAACCTGATGTCTTCCCGTCGGGGATGTCAGGGCCACTTAATGCAAGGTTTGATCCCTGAAGTAGGGAGTAAAGCTTTCTTTCTCCTTTCTGTTGTGTGTCAGCTTACACTGCTGAATTTCTTTGTTTCCTAAGTAAATCCCATCAGTGTAGCTGACTGCCTCCCTTACTTGAAATAAACTAAGCTAGGGAACAAGTTTCTCAACAAGGCTGCATTCTCCGGGGTGCCAAGAAGGGCAGAGCTAAGCTCAGCCCCTGCAAGGAGAGGGGAGACCCCTATTGATTGTCTTAGAAGAACATTACAAACAAAAAAATAAAAAAGTCTCTCCTGCATCCTGAGAAGCCTGGCGTGGACCAGACCGTGCTGGCTAGAGAAGTGCCTCCAGGGCAAAGACCAGAGGCTGTTCGTCTTCTCCTCGATGATGAATGCTAAGAGTAAAAGAATGCCAGCTGAGAAAGTCGGATTCCTTACTTATGACATAAGTGAACTTGAGAAGATGACCTATAGGGTCCAGGAGGAAGTCAAAATTTCTATGAACCCAAGCAGAAAATGATCTCGGAGATAGAAGAACACAATGCCAAACCAGTTAATCACTCAGATCCGCTGGTTAAAACCTGACTGGTTATTAAAATAAGATATAGCGCCCCCATCCAGCCCCCAGAAACTGTGAGCAGGTGCTTGCTGACTTTGTTGGTGCCTACTGCAGTGAGGAAAAGAAGTCCATCCAGGAGACTTACCTGAGCACCCTCTAGTCCCTTACCCTGCACCCTAAGGTTGACCTTCCAAACTCAAGATCTTCCCCAAGGCTTGCCTCTTCAGCTCATGTCCAGGGAATGTCTCCAGTCTAACCAGTTGCCACAAGGCCCCAGCTACCAGAATTTTGGTGGGTAACTGGGGGAGATTAGAAGAGACCTGATGGCAAGTTCAGGCTGGTGTGTTCCAGACAACAATCTGAGCATAAGCGTGGATTGATTATCTCCTCATGGCTTCTTGGCATTAACTTTGGTCTTGAGTTCCGACAGCCCTCTCTTCAGCCAGTGAGTTATAAAACGACTCCACAGTTTCTGGGAAGTGAGTGATTAGTGTTTGCTTAGGATTTTAAAATTCTTCCAATTAAATTTTGGCTTCTTCTAGCTAAGTGTTTTTGAATATGGCATCCAGCACAGTGCTTTGCACTCAAGAAACAGTGAATGAATGGATGCCTGAATCAATGAATAATCAGATACATTGAACTTGAGCTCTGTAATAGGAAGACATCGAGTGCCAGTCACCTCCACATACGGGACACACTCAGGTCCGGAGCTTACATCACACTTCCCCCAGGAGCTGGGCCCGACAGAAATCATATGAGCATATACATCAGCTAATACATTACCCTGCAGAGGTTAATATGACTCCCTGGATTTGATGAACTGTGAGGGGTCCAATTTCTAATAGCGAGCGTGGTAGATTTACAGTATCTGAAGAGGATCAATGAAATCTATGACCCCTCCTAAGGATCCCTCCTCAGGGAACACAGCCATACCTGAGCAGACTCTTCCTGCCCCAACCATACAGCAAAAGGCTTCTCATCAGGATCTCTGGGAGATTTTACTTTTGTCCTTTTCCTCCATACCCAAAGGCGTCTCTAGGAAGGAATCTCAACCCCGTCTGTGGAGGAAGAGCTTGCGGCTGAGGCAGTGCAGAACTGTGCACCACCCCCACCCCCCTCCGGCTTTCTGGCAGGCGGCCCACCAGGCTCAGCCTGGCATTCGGCGCCTCCTGACGAAGCAAGAGTGTGGACTTGGAGAAGCCAGTGCCGCTTCAGTCAGATGGAGGGTAACCAGAGCCCTCCACAACAATTGTACTTGAGTTCATTTAAAACGACAGCAAGAAAAAGTGTGTGACAAACACAAGCAGAAAAATGCGGAATGAACCAAGTCTTCATGCGGTCCTCCATCAAGGCAAGAGAGGCTAGCGGAGACACCTCGAGTGGAACAAAGCACGCAGAACGCATCCATCCTCAAGAAGCTCTCTGTGGCAAAGGGTTCGAAATCTCCCACTGGTCTGCAGCCACGATGGCAAACACCCTGAGAGCACATCTGTCATATGTACAATTTCCTGGAACTGGCCTGTGCACGTACCTATGTGTGCAGCTCATTCAGACGTGGCGCTCTGCCAGTACAAGACCTTTCGTGTGCTTTATGATGTTGGGTTAATGAAAACACAGAGTGGATAGCTCTAAATGGACACAGAGACTTGCATTACCTACCATTCTGCTTTACCTGGTAAGAATTCAGGGCACCATCCAGCCTCAGGGACACAATGCAGGCACCCTGAGAAATGCCCTGTTCAGCATCAGGCTGAACCTGTCCTTCCACCAAGCAGGCCCGGCCTGAACCACTTCACAGCATCCATATAAAATACAGGCAGGCGCGAGGGAGTCGGCCCTTCCCATGGACGTGGTTAACAATTACTTTCTCCAGAGGAGAGCCCCTCAGCGTGTCTGGAGCACAGGTCTTTCTGCGGGGCAGACTACAAGGGACCATCCCTGAAAGGCCACCTGAGACTGGCTCCCCGGGCCACATCCAGCCCTGCTCCTGGGGCTCTAAGTGCTGATTCGAGATTCCCTTTTAACCCTGAGTGATTTGGAAAAAAAAGAGAGAAATTCTAGTACTGTGGGGATGTCAATTTTCTTTGCCCAGAAAGATCTGCTAGGGGCCCCTCCTCTGATTCCTGCCTCCCAGGGAAGGCACCGCCCCCTCGGCCATTTCAAATCCTGGGTAGGGTGATGCTGACACCTAGGGGTGGGTGGAGAAAGAGCCAGTGTGGAGGGAAAGTCGGCCAGATCTATCTGCCCACTGCACCTCCTGGGAGTGTCCAAGCAGTGGAGCTTTCCCGTACTTCGTATCCACCTGCCCCCAAGTCTACAGCCCTAACTCTGAGACGAGGCCCCCAGAAACCTGTCCAGTAACCTCCCACACAGAAGGACAAAAACAAAGTTTGACTTTAGCCTCAAGCAGATGCAGTGACAGGCTCTGTTCGGCAGGCAGGCCCGTGGGCCAGGAGGAAGCAGGGAATGCCAAACCGCCCCGGGGAGGCTGGGGACACGCTCTTACCAAACTCGCTCGCACAGAGATGCTCGATTATGGCTTCAGACTTCAACTCATTGTCACACGGAGGACACACAGTTGTGCCTAGGGGGAGGGAAGGGGGAGAAAACAGAGCTGTGAGTTGTGGGATTAGGGGGTGCAGAGAGGGGCACTCCTGGGAAAGAGATCAGCCCCCAGCCAGAGTGAAAGTAGCTACAGGTCTTCTGGGATTTCGGAAGGGCCACCCGAGAACCTAAATGAAGGTTCCTAAAGCCCCGGACCTAAGGCTATATACACAGACATACAATTTCTTGAAAAGTTGAGGGCTAGAGCTGTAGAATACGGCACAACCACTTAAAGCAACATGAGGGTCTGGGCGGGAGTGGGTCCTCCAACTGTGGCTTGATTGGGCATGGCGAGTCCCCGGGGAAAGTTAATTTATAAACCAAACACATCTACTCCAGTCGTTTGTTTCCTGTTCTTTCTCCCCTCCTTTTGAATGTCCTCCCATCTGACTCCTGCCCCCTTCCCACCCCCAAACCATCCCCCCCCCCAACAAGACAGCAGATCAATCTGATGGGCTCTCAAGGAGCCAAGAAGGAAAATTCAGCCAGACTCATGAACTGTAACCCTAAGCCCTGAATACCCACCCCTCTCCAAAAGGGCTATTGCTAGCAAGAGCTGCCAAATGCGAGGACAGAGCTGGATGGGAGAGACGCTCTGCAGGCATTTTCATGGTGCTGCGAAGTGCTTTGAAGAGGAAAATATGTGTGTGGCCGGCAAGAAGGCCACTGATAGGTGGCTAAGCCCCAGGGGGAAGAGGCATCTGAGGCCAGGGCTGGAGGCCTCCTCCAAGCCAAAATGCTACTGATGCTGGAGGGATCCCAGGAAATGAAGTGTCTCTTTGGAAGGGCAGGAAGAAAGTGGTACAGTGAATCCCAAGAAGGGTGCAGGCGGCTTATCATCCTCATCACCACCACCATTTCTCACCATCACCACCACTGTCACCATCTTTCAAACAACTTGCAGTTGGGCCCATGATCCAGGAAAGCATTAGCATGTTCTAAGGGCACTCCATCCTCGGCACAGCCCTCTAAGCCATGCCAGGCTGGAGCTAAGGAGCACAGGAAAGTCACCGGAAAGAAGCATGGTGTACTGAGCGACCTCTGCTCAAATATAAGGCTCTTGGTCCTCCTTCTTCCCTTCCCCATCCACGACTTCTGGGGTAGCATCTCCCCCTTCGTGAGCTCCACTGTGGCCCAGTGAGGTGGGAAGAGCCTCCCGAGATGGAGGATAAGCAGGGAGCTGCAGAGCCCTCCCAAGCCAATGCTGCTCCCAGGACACAGCTGGCCCAGAGCTGGCCACACAGCCACCACTTGAAGCAGGGTCCCCGCATGGCCCAGCAGAGACCACATGCCTCAGTCTTTGCTGACAGATTCCTCTCCCATCTCTATCCCCAGGGCCAAACGCCGTCCACATTCTCAGTGCAGCAAGAACCACAGCCACACTCCAAGCAGAAGACTGTGGTGTGGGGCTGTGTTTTGGCCCAGATGTTGGAAATTTGCTTTTCACCCAAAAGCAAATTTGAAACTGGTAGTGTTTCCAACAAAGGGAAAAACTTGCCCAGAGTTTTACATATGGTTCTTGCTTGCATGGGGAGAAAAACAGGGAAAGCAAGTCCCGCAATATGGGAAGGACCATGTGACTTCTAGTGGGAGAGTCCACTGTGTTGGGGGGTTTTCCTTGCGCACGTAATTTTTTAAAAAGCGGAAGCTATCACGCCACAAGGTTCTATGAATATAATCTCGACCAGACGGAAGGTAGGGCCACGGCCACCACGGTATCACCGCCAGGTCTCCATCTGCTCCAGGTGTCTCATCTCGACACTCTGGGCTCCCAGAGGGCTCTCTCTGCACCTCGCGGGGGCACTTCCCTCGGGGGCACTTCTGTCAGTGCCTCTCGGGACACGGGAGCTCCTGGAGGTGAGCTCTGTGTGTTCTCCGCATGGCTTCCCCCCACCTTGCTCTCCTTCCAGCCGACTCTGGAGCGGCAGCAGCTCGATCCAGAACAGGGAGGAATGTGTAATGCAATATTAATCTGTGCCCCTCCGATTGTCCTTGGGGCCCCGCAGGCTGCCTCCGCAGGAGAAATCCACCCCGTCGTCTGCCGGAGAGGTGGAACTAAATCGCTGTTTTAAAGCATATTTAAAATAATATTTAAAGCAAAGGAACCAAAAACTAAAATGTTTTGTGTTTTATTAACATTTAAAGGGGAGTAGAAGACAAAGTCCAACACTGGCATCAGGATTAAGTAAATTTTGAAAAATCAACATGTACACACACACACACACACACACACACACACACAGCAGGTCTTCCCGGGCCAGCTCCTGGATCCAGGGGGAAGAGACTCCATGAAAGGCTCTCAGGCATAATGAGGGCACTGTGGCCTCCGCAATCTGTGGCTGAAGCGGCCAGGTTGATTTCATGCACAACACACCTAAACAACAACAAAACTAAACTAAAAGCATGCGCTTGTTCATACAACCTCAGTAGTAAAACCTGGCAGGGAGGGAGGAGGAACAACTTACCAGAGGGCACAGGTCTAACGCAAGGGCCAGACTCAGAAATTACTCTCCTGGAGAAAAAACCAGTGCCTCTCCCATAACAGATGCTTGATGTGGCTGGGACAATGACCTTTGCGGGGAAAGGTGTCTTTTGCTTCATTTCTCTTTATTGAGTTTATTTTTAACAACATGTGGCCGCAAAGGGCTGCCCAAGACCCCACAGCTGTACATGCCCAGGACGTAAACAGAAACCCACCAAATCATGCAGAGATCTGATGCTGCTGCTTAGAAAACTCAGTTTTAATTTTCAAGAATAAAATGAAGAATAAAAGAAAGAGTGCACATATTTATCATCATCCAAAAGTGCCAGTCTTTATTCAGGAGCCACCAGCCTTAAGGGCAGTCCTCCTCAACCAGCCCCTGACACCCCCACACACACACACACAGCCCTCCCACCTCTGGGGAAATTTCGTGGGGCTCCCCTCCCACGGAGTGGCTGTCGTCCTGGCGGGGAGCAGATGCCCTCTCAAGGCAGGGCCTTGCACCAAAAATGCTGAGGGAGAGCCAGTTCCCTAGTCACACACCTGACTGGTCCCCTCACAGCCTTTCTCTCTGCTCACCTGCTGGTCTGGAGGTGGGGGGCGTGGGGGGGAAGGGAATGCCTGTGCGCTTCTGGGATGGAGGAGAGAGGAGGGTGCTAAGGCCCAGACCTGAGGCCCCAGACACGTGGAACCACAGCCAAGGAAAGAAGGGCCTTTGGGGGTTCAGCTGGGAAGATTCTTTCCCCTTCATAGGTAGCCCCCCACCCACTAGTCCCCCAATCTTCTCCTTTGTCAAAAGATATTCCCTCACGGGTCTCCGTGTCCACCAACTAACTGTCCCAGAAAGACAAGTGGACTCAGCCCAAGCAGAGCTGGCAGCGGCCTCTCGGGGCAGGTCTGGGCTGGGCTAATCCCCCAGTGGCCGGCAGAGGAAGGGGAGAAGGGAAATCCTGGGGGATGCAGGGGATGGCTCCACACCAAAGAACACAAAGTGCTTTGTTTGCTCTAGGTAATTGCTCAGCTCTTGCTCTCAAAGGGCTGCACTTCTCAAAGGTTAACCCTGTGCAGACACCCAGGAAGCGGAGAGCAGAGGTGCCCAGACTTAGCCACTGCAGGCAAGCTGCTGCTGTCTGTCCCTCTCTGCCAGCCGGGACCCATGCCACCCAGCATCAATCACTTTAAACCGATCTTCTCCATCCCTAGATTAGCAAGTGCATTCAAAGTTCAGGGTGCCCCTTTCCTCACATCTACCCTCTGGAGGAACACACCCTTCAGCGGACAAGTCTTTTTGGCATCACATAAAGACAGGCAAAGTCAGCAAGCAGCCAGCCCCCCACCGGAAGCCCCCTCCACGAGAAAGCCCTCCAGATGCCTGCCCCTGTGCTAGGCACACCTGGGCATGGTCCCCATCTCAGACAATCTCCACATCTCCGAGACTCAACTTCGCTTCCCAAGAATTCAGGGTTGAATTCACTCCTATAAAAGTCAGGCCACGTGCTGGGGGGGTGGGAGTTGCTCATTTGTTTTGTTTTGTTGCCTCTCTGGGATTTCTCCCCTCACCCCCCAAAAACACACCCAAGAATTGCCCTTGAAGTGGGAGGGTGTTCTTCCAGGAACCTCAGGCCATCCCTGATGCTGTTGGGAAAGTCTCCAATTTGCAGAACCCTACTCCTCAAGGAGAGATGAACAATGAACTAATTACACTTTTATCTTTCTAATTACCTGAGGATTTGTGTAAATGAGAAAAGCAGGGGGTATGCAAGAATGAGAAAGAAGAGGCTTTCCATCCCCCAAACCTCTTCAAACTGTTACCTGAAGAGGTGGAGAAACAGAAATTCCCAGTTTCTAAACTTTCTTTCTCAGTCAGTTCTGCAGCTTGGGCTACTTGGCTGAATGACCTAGTTAAGAAAAGAGTTGTTTGTTTGTTTGTTTGTTTGTTTGTTTGTTTGAAATCCTCATGGAATCTATGAAAATAAGCCCGTGTGTTAGCATGTTCTCGGCCTTTCTGAGCTTTGGCTGTTTTCCTTTAGGCGCATCCCGCCTGGGGTGTTAAAACACTTGGATAGGGACTCAGTTCCATTCCTGAGGAGAGACGGGCTCTCCTTTCATTTGTAAATTTAGGATTTTTTTTCAGGTATGGAAATGCGAGACTGGACCCCAGAAAGAGCCGCTCCAGGAGCAGGACCAAGTTTGAGCGCGGCCAAGGTATAGCCGCCACTGCCCGGCAAGCCCCGCGGTCCGTGCACCTGGGTCTCGAAAGGCGCAAAGCAACACCTCGGACGGAATCGAAGCTTTGAAAAATCATTCTGCTCAGCTTGAGAGCAGTCTCTAGGGAGCATGTCCGAACTCCCGGGTGGTGCGGCAGCCGGAGACCAGGTGGCAGAAGCGTTCCCGCAGCCCCCGCTGTAGCCCCGCGGGTCCCGGGGTCCCCAGCCGACCGGGGCGTCAGAGGGGATGGCCTTACCTTGGGGTTTGGAGGCTTCGGTGGCATTGGGAGGGGTCATGGCGATGCAGACGTCCCCCTCGGGGAACTTGTCACACTTGAGCATCTCGGGCCAGTAGAAGCCGAAGAACTGCATGACTGGCTCGCACGAGTCGCGCACGGCCTCGCACAGCCAGCGGCAGGGGTAGATGGGCCGATCCAGGCACACGGGTGCGAAGAGTGAGCAGAGGAAGACCTGGGTGCCAATGTGGCAGTTCTTGTTGAGCAGGGGCACCCAGCTGCTGGCTTGCTGCTTCACCTCGGCCATGGTCTCGTGCTCCAGAAGATTGGGCAACACCATCTTCTTGTAACCCACGTTGTGGCACAGCCGCAGGTCCGCCGGGATGTCCACGCACTGCGGCGGCTTGGTGTAGAAGCGCCCGCTCTGGTACGAGCCGATGTCCGACTGGAAGCTCACGTAGTCGTACTCGCTGGCCGAACCCGCAGCCAGCAGCCCGGCGGCCAGCGCCAGCAGCACGCCCCCGGCGGCCCCGCGTTGGCCCCCAGCGCCGAGCCCGCTGCCCATGCTGGCTTCGCTCACTCACTCCTGCTACGTCGGGGGTGCCTCCGCCGCCCCGCGCGAGTCCCGCCGCAAACTTCCAAGAGTCTCCGGGGACAAAAGGCGCCGTCCCACCCCGGCCCGGATCCGCGGTGCGCGCTCCTGCCCAGTCCTTGGCGGGTGGCGGCCCTGGGCCTGCCGCGGGGAGGGGAGCGTGCGCGGCCTGAGTGCTGCGGGGGCTCTCGAGAGCGCGGCACCTACTCCCGAGGCTGCAGGACTCGAGTGCCCCGTGCTCCTGTTGCAAAGCCCTGTGAGTCTCCCCGCGCAGCCAATCAGCTCCGGGCTGCGGCGAGCCGCACTCATTTAGCACGTCAGTCATCGGCGAAATGAGCCAATCGCTTTACTTGCAGCAGGGTCCGGTTTACCAGAACGCAACACAGGTCAACACCCCTTAAAAAACAAAATCAAAGAACAAATAAATAAAAGAAGAAGGAGATAAAAAGAGAAAACAGGAAAATGAAAGGAAGAGAAAATAGAAGTGCGGGGTGGATAAAGAGAATGTTTCACGCCGTGACCAACTTGCGTCGGATCGCGGAGAAGCAAGGCATTTAACAGTACTTGAAAAATCCTTAAGATAATGAAGACTTTTTTTTAACACTTCCTCCTCATTTCAAACGGCAGCCCACCAGACAAGCAGCTCACCTCCTCGATGTTGTTCTCTGTATCCGCACTACAAAGACAAGCAGTTTCCCCACAAACGGAGGCTCAGGAAGGCAGAAGAGACGAAGGTCTGCCTTTAAATCCCCAGCCGGCCGGGATCGGCTCCCGCAAAGAGCACTAGAAGGTGCGTAGTCGGGGCTGTTTGCTGGTTTTAAAACACAGCAGTTTTCCAGGTGGGACAACCGGATGGTGGCCCCCCCGAAACCGGAGGCACTAGGTACATGTCGCTCAGTGTGGCGGGAAATACTGCTTGCAAAGGTGTTGGGTTTCGGAGGACAGTTAAAAAAAGAGGGGAGGGGGGCCTCCGCAAGCCCCAGCCCGACAGCATGTTTGTGTGTGCACGCATATCCACATTGACATGTTTGTGGTGTAGAAAGCCAAAACATTGAAAACACATGTGCACTTATCAGCGTGGTGTGTGTAAATATCAAATCCATCACTCAAGCACACATGCTACATTCATAGCTGGCCCAGGAACCTTGAGTCAAAACCAAGGGTTCCCGTTAAGGCAGAAAGCAAGGGGAGAGTATTAACAGAAACACAGCCCGGCCTTCTCACCTACCTCCCCCTCCCCCAACAGAAGTCTCCCTGCCACCCTGCACCTCAGAGTCCCTGGGAGTTCTTTGTATGTTTCAAACATTCGGAAAGCTGGGAGTGTGACTATGACCGACCCCAGGGACAGGAGACAACAGCACGCGGTCCATGAAGTCCTCTGGGTCGGCACTGCGTGTGCCCTGAAGTGTGGGTGGAAGGAGGCAAAGGATGCTGAAAAAGCCCGCATCTGAGCAGTTGTGGTACTGCCCCACGTGGCAAATGGGCCACAGATCTCATTGCTCAAGGCAGACACTGTAGGAGGCGCTGCCTTGCCAGCGGCTTGTTTGTAAGGCTCCAGGGAAGCTGGCTTTGGACTCTGCAGACCAAATTTCTTCATGGAAAGATTCCAAGTAAAGCTACTTGAGTTTGTGAAGAAGCGAGACTGTTTTCTTAAAGCACTCGTGCCCATATGGAGATTGTGATTCCACTGTGCACACAAAACGCATCTGCAGATGGTCAAACTTCTCTGCCATTTCTAGGCTAATGAAAGGTCCGCCAAAGTGAGAGGAGCAGATGGAGGGAAAGCGATGGAAAGAGATAAAAACAAGAGGTTGGATGGCAAAGGGTTAATCCCTAAACAATTGGTAGTGCTCAGCTGAGAAGCTGGGGAAGACATTCCTCACAGAGAATAGACCGCAGGAGACCTGGCAACTGTGTCTCAATTCAAGGGGCATTTAGAGAAAAATGCTGTTTGGTAGGGGGTCCTTTTCTCTCCTCCAGCCAGGCCCTCAGTCCCAAGCCAAATGTGTCTGTTTACTCACTCCTTGGAAAGAGTTGTGTTAGTAAATAGCATCCTCTCACCTCTCAGTCCGGGCTTGGCTGACTTCTCATTCATGTGTGCAGAGTTTCCCAAATGGTGGGAGAACTTGAGTCCGTCCCCCATTACAGTCCTGGAACTCCATCCAGGCGACTGTGCCTCCGTCAGTCCTGGAGTCTCAAGTCAGGAGTAAATCTGCAAACGCGTTCTTGGGAGGACCTCGCCCGTGTCTGGTTGATCCCCCTTGACTGTGATCACCCACAATCCTCCCCTCCACTCCCCACCCCCAGATGGCCTCACTGCTTTCGAGAGAGGCCTCTTAGGCCATGGGGAGCACACAACCATCTAAAAGACAAACAGCAAGTGTGGGTGTAAATAAGACCCCAGAATCCTAAACCCGGTACATAGTGTGGGTACATTTCTAGCTCCTTTGAAGGCCCGGCTGGAAAGGAAGGACTTAGATCTCAGTCCCACTGACAGACTTGAACCCACACCTGGAGTTCTGGAGGGTGACTGCCAGTCAGTTCACATGCTCTGCCATGGAGCCATGCCGAAGGGCCTGGGCGCTGAGTACAGTTTTTTGTTTGTTTGCTTATTTGTCTTTTTTCATATTGTCAAATCCTTGCACTTCAAAGCCCCAGTCTCCCTTTTTTTAAGGGCGAGAATGTGTGTGTGGAAAGAGGAGAAAGTTCTAGAACAATGGTTCTTTAAACATGCTATTAACATGACAGAGCTCCTAGAAACCAGGGTTCTTACCTATGAAAACAGGGGCAAAATACAGTTTTCAACTTGTGTTTTTCATTTCCAAAAAGTTCTGATTTCTCCACACTGCCAGATGCCTGTCCATGAAAATTGGAAGTGTGTTGCCTGTTGCTTCATAAACCAACACAAGGAGGCATTCTTCAGTCTCCCTGTTGCCCAAAGCCGACTGTCAGGCCAAGCAGGGTCACCAAAAGGCCTCCCAGATGCCTACCTGGTGGCCTCTTCCCACACACAGAGCTCCTTCCTGCCCTCCACTAGAAAAACTGGGGGGTGGGGAGAGAGGAGCCTTTCCACCCTGTTCCTTTTATTCTGTTCCATTACCATATCATCATCGATCTTTATGCCTCTTCAAAGATGCACTCAGGATCCTCTCCGTCAGCCAGGAGTAGTGCAGTGAAGCAGGAGGGTCTCCTGCCTGTGGCTGGGTGGCGGTGGCTTCGGGGCCGCGCAGAGAAAAGCGTTCTTGCCCGAATCAGGAAATATGAAGTATGGCCTTGATTCTGCTCACTGGCTGGGTGACTGGCGCTTTATCCCTCTGGCCTTAGAGTTCTTGTCTGTAAATCAGAGCTACAATGCCTGCCCTGCTACCTCATGAAATAAAATATGTGAATCATTGATAGCTAGTGTCAGGGAGACACATAGGCTTTTGGTAAAATATGAAAAATTTTAAAGTGATGCTTGCGGTAAGACATCATTAAGTACAGTAATGTTCTCACATGGACAAGCTGCTTTTCCGTTCTGCCCAGTGGAAGTGCAAATACTGTGTGCACCTTATTGATCTTGAGCCCCTCTGACTCAGAACTGGGCTGACGTGCTACCTGGGGTTTGGGGATGTCTAGGAAGACTCATAAAAACTCAGAGTTGAAGGCAACTCCACCCCTAGGCGAATTAGGCACTGTCTCCTACCTGCATGCAGAGTCCCCGTGCACACTTCACTACAGCACATACCTTGGAGTTTCATAACTTCTTGCTTTGGGGTATCCACATGACAGTGAGCTTGTAAAGGACCAGCATCTTGCCTTATTTTGTCTTACTTACCACTGCCTCCCAGCATGCACCATGGTGCCAGGCACGCAGCGAGTGCTCAACAAGGCCCTGCACGCAGAGAAATGCATAAACATGTAGTAGAGGGACAAAATACGTGAAACATCCAGCCTAAGAGAGGTGCTACACTTGAGCATTGATTTTGCATTGCGTTTCTGAAAACCAAGGCAATATGTAAGCATGAATCACTTGCATAGTTGTCTTTGTCAGCGGGAATGGAAAATCTTTCCTAGATCTGACTGACTTGAGAGAACGGATCCTCCGAGCCTTCTACGAAGACTGTAAGCAGAGCGTGGGACTTTTGTACTGGCTCCCCTCCCATCCCAGAGCTGATCTGTGGACAGATGCCACACCCAAGTCCCCTGTTCCCCTAGGGCATGCCCAGTAGGCTGCTGAGTAAAGAATGGGTTGGTGAATGGAGTGGCTAATTCCAAGAGGAAAACAGAACTTCCTGTAAATCTAACCTGGATGCTGATCCCCAGACCCTAATGCAATCCTGTGCCAAAACAGGGGCTGGTGCCTAGACGGCTGCGGATTCTGGGAACCTCTGCCAGCACCTGGGATTGGAGTGGAGGCCAAAGAAGCTAGAGTGGGGCTCTGCCTGTAACACCTGGGGCCAGATCCTGGTTTCAGAGCTCAAAGCTTTGCTGGGACACCACGGAGCAGGAGAACTGGGCCTTTGGAGACCCCTCCCCTCTGATGGTCCCTGGGAGTGAAAGTGCAGTGGCACATGCTTCAGTGAAGGGAGGCCCGTAAATCTGCTGAGACGGCTGCAGGGAGGGCAGCTTGCAGCAGACACATTCCCCTAGGAGCCCTGTGCTTATTTACCTAACCCTCCGTGGCAGGCGCGCCAGACAGCTCCACCGCCTTTCTCAAGGGTTGGAGCTGGGAACCACTCGGATATAAATGAGGTGTTGGGGGGGAAGGAGCGGGAGAGGGCCCATCAACACCCCCCCCCCACACCTCCCCCCCCCCCCCCCCCCAACCCTTCAGGAGAGCCTTTCCTTTCCCTGAGGGTCTGGTGACCTCACCGCTGGCTGTGAAGGCACTCACCTCCAGGGCTCCACTCACCTGGGCCAGTGAGAGGCCTCCCCTTCCCCTTCTCCCTCCTCCGCCTCAGTAAACCAGTCCCCATCCGAAATGCACTGTCCAGCTGGTATACGGCACAGCGCCACAAAGAGTAAGCTACCTTTCTGGAGTCTGTTTTTGTTTGTACTCCATGTGCATTATCACACTGGGGGCTCACAAAAAGCCTTAGAGCTGACACCAAGTTTGTCATTCCCATTGCACAGGAGAAGACACAGAGGCTCAGAGTAGTGGGACCACTCCCACTATCACAGCGCTCTGCCCCAGGACAGACTGTTCTGGACCCCGATCTTTATTGATTCTGCCCTAGGCCTAATTG